CAGGCTCCGAGCCATCAGCCCAGAGCCTGACGCGGGGCTCGAACTCATGGACCGCGAGATCGTGACCTGGCTGAAGTCGGACGCTTAACCGACTGCGCCACCCCGGCGCCCCGGAGTGTGGTTTTGATTTGTATTTCCCTGATAAGGAGCGATGTTGAACATCTTTTCATGTGCCTGTTGGCCATCCGGATGTCTTCTTTAGAGAAGTGTCTATTCATGTTTTCTGTCCATTTCTTCACTGGGTTATTTGTTTTTCGGGTGTGGAGTTTGGTTAGCTCTTTATAGATTTTGGATACTAGCCCTTTGTCCGATATGTCATTTGCAAATATCTTTTCCCATTCCGTTGGTTGCCTTTTAGTTTTGTTGGTTGTTTCCTTTGCTGTGCAGAAGCTTTTGATCTTCATAAGGTCCCAGTAATTCACTTTTGCTTTTAATTCCCTTGCCTTTGGGGATGTGTCGAGTAAGAGATTGCTACAGCTGAGGTCAGAGAGGTCTTTTCCTGCTTTCTCCTCTAAGGTTTTGATGGTTTCCTGTCTCACATTCAGGTCCTTTATCCATTTTGAGTTTATTTTTGTGAATGGTGTGAGAAAGTGGTCTAGTTTCAACCTTCTGCATGTTGCTGTCCAGTTCTCCCAGCACCATTTGTTAAAGAGACTTTTTTCCATTGGATGTTCTTTCCTGCTTTGTCAAAGATGAGTTGGCCATACGTTTGTGGGTCTAGTTCTGGGGTTTCTATTCTATTCCATTGGTCTATGTGTCTGTTTTTGTGCCATAGAAAATCTTTCCGGGGCGCCTGGGTGCCGCAGTCGGTTAAGCGTCCGACTTCAGCCAGGTCACGATCTCGCGGTCCGTGAGTTCGAGCCCCGCGTCAGGCTCTGGGCTGATGGCTCGGAGCCTGGAGCCTGTTTCCGATTCTGTGTCTCCCTCTCTCTCTGCCCCTCCCCTGTTCATGCTCTGTCTCTCTCTGTCCCATAAATAAATAAACGTTGAAAAAAAAAAAAATCTTTCCTAAGTGAGTTAAGTAGGCCCAAGTATAGTGAAAGCCTCTCTTACTACTTCCTATCATGTTATTCTGTCAGTGAGTGGTTTATTTTGAATTCTGTAGTATGGGTTCTACCCTTTGTGAACTAAACAAAAGTAAGGCAAAATCAATAATGTGTGCTTAAAACTATCAACTGAAGAGAATATTGTTTGTTAATGAAAAATGTGATCTTTTCAACAACAAAGAGGTTTGGAATACAGGTACAGAATTAAATAAACAGTTAAAATATTAGCAGTGTAAAACTGCTTTCCATTTTCCCAGTTTCAAAAGTTTGCCCTGGAACATTTTAAACTCTAATCTTATTAATGAAATGCTAAAGCATATCAACAGCTTAAATTAAAGTATTGTATTCTGTCGAATGGTGGAACATAAAATAAGGAGTGTCACATTACTTAATGAAGCAATAGCCTCCAGGGAACTTAAAAATACCTCAGAAAAGTGGTCTGAATATTGGCCAGAATCTAACCCACATCAAAATCCCTCACAAGATTTTGTTTTTCCATATTCACTAGGCCATGAGAGTGTTTTTAACATTGCTGAAGGAATTTTCTTCCTTAAAAAGTTTTTTGAAATAGAATTATGGACTTGCATCTCCATTAATGCTGATAAAGAAATGACTATTATTAAAACACTTTCCTAGTTAATTCATTATAAAAGAAAACCTGAGTGAAAAACATGCCATCTTGCCAAACCATGAGAGGCTTGTCTCTGGAGACAGACTGCCTCAGTATAAATTTATTTTCCTACTCATTCTGTGCGTGATGGGCCAAGTTTTTAACTTCTGTATTGCTCATGTTGATCATCTGTAAATGGGGATGTGAATAGAAGTTACTGCTTTTAGAGGTGCCTCGGTGGCTCAATCGCTTGGGTGTCTTAACTCTTGATTTCGGCTCAGGTCATGATTCCAGGGTCATGGGATTGAGCTCCATTTTGGGCTTTGCACTGAGCATAGAACTTGCATAAGATTCTTTGTCTCTGTCTCTTTCTCTCTCCCCCTTTCCCTTGTTTCTGTTCTCTTTCTCTAAAAAACAACAACAACAGAAAACATACTGCTTTTAGGGTATTAGAAATACAAGAGTTAATTTATATAAATCATTTTGAAAAGTGACTAGGACATAATACATGATAAATATTAGTCATTATTATTGTGTGCAATTGTCTCAGTTGAGTCATTAGTGATTAAATGAGGATCTTTTTAACTTTTATCATGTTTAAAATATTATTAATTTTTTGGCAGCCTTTTTAGAGTCTCAGAGAGTAGAGATTTGATAATCATATACAGTGAAATTTTCTTTTAAAAAGAGTTCATAATGACTTTATTTCATTTTCTGTATCAGTGAAACAAATACCATTCCCATCTGGTACTCCACTGCAAGCTAATTCCACAGTTTCCGAAAAAGTGATACAGTCTATACCAATGACAACTGTATCTTCTGGTGCCAAAGAACAGATAACAGGAGGAAGAGCAGAAGAAAAGATGAAAGAGAAAATTGAAATGAAAGGTATTGTTAAACTTCAAGGTTACTTGGCTCTTGACTGGTTTATCAGATGTCAACATTTTCGATATTAATAGTGGTGTCAAAAGTTGAAACCTTTATGAACTAGAATAAAATAAGGAACAGTATGATATTGGAATATAGAAACTGAGCTCTAAAGGAATATGTGAAGATTGACCAGGTTGACAGGGTAGGAGTGTGTTATTTGAGGTAGAGTATGTTTTAACATAACTAAACATAGAAAGTAGAGATTAAGTGTAAAGGTCCATATGTGGTTTGATGTGACTAAATTTTAGTGTATGTTTCAGAGAAGTCACAGGTAGAAAGTTAGCTTTTAGTCTTTTCTAATTTATCCTTAACCTTACTGCTTGAAGCTATTCTCATAAATCTGACTCTTTTGACCTCGTCTCCTTTACTCCTTTGTAGATTTCATTTTTCTAGGTATGTCTAAAAAAAGTGCTTTTATAATTCATTATTCATACCTCTCATAACACTTGTAACCACTTAAGATTTTTTGGAAAATATGGCTGAGGAATTTGTGAACTAACCTAAGCCAATTTAGCATCTAACACTTACCAGTTCCTTTTGGTAAACATCAGTAACCTTTCTTAGAAGTAAATAGGAGCTGTACATCTTCTACATAACTTCACCACTGGGTGGTATGGTTATAGTGAAAGCAACTCAAACTAATTCTTTCACTTTATAAAATTCATTCAGATGTAGGCACAAAGCAATCAGCCTGTTCTAAGTATGATGAAGTTCATACCCAAAATAAGATACGTTGTATTTTTGTGACTGCAGGATTAATTAATCTTCTAGTCAAATGAGACAAGAGTCTTCCTTTGTGGGAGGAGGAAGTACACAAGACCAAATGGAGCTCTATGTCTAGAATGCCTGTGTCCAGTGGTACTGTCTGTAGTGATGGAGATACTGTATGGCTTCATAATCCAACACAGTAGCTAATAACCAGTGATGGCTGTTGAACATTTTAAATGTGTCTGGTGTGACTAAGGAACAGAGTTTTTTATTATTTTAAATTTAAATGTAAATAGCTATGCGTGGTTGGCAGCTACCATATTGGGTAGTGCTGGGATAGTGGGGTGTTCCATTGGTGCTTGGCTGCTAGAATTGCCAGAATCCATTTCTGCTCATGCAGAGGCTATGGTTACAATACAGTCTTTGTAGCCTGCCACATGTGAGCATCACTCATCTTTTAACGAAACATGTCTAAAATCTTTTATGATGACTAAGCTCTTGGTATAGATTTTGACGTTTGCAGTCACCTCTGGACTATGGATTCCTGATAAAAGTATTGCAAATGCCTAGGGAGTAGATTAAAGTGAAAAATGTAGATATGTAGATATACTGTTATACTGCATTATATTAAATATATAGATTATCACTCAAAGGTAACTAAGATTTTTGGTGTATTGTTTCCTAGTAATTTTGTTGTATATTCTATATCACTTGGATTTTTACTAGCTTTTGCTAGTAAGATTAAACATTGTTCATTATTTTGAATTACCTCTTCTTTTGTAATCTCTCTTTGTATAAATTGTGAATGTCCTTACACAAAATCATTCTTTCCCACTTTAGGCAGAATTATTTATCTCTGCATTTCTGTATTATATCTTTGTGTATGTAATGTTTGTCACATATTCATTATATATATCTGTCTTCCTTAAAAGAGATTTTCAGTGCCTTGGATCTCAGTAAATATTTGTTCAAAGATTAAACAAAGGTATAATCGAGAAGGAGTGCTTCTAAGTCACAACTATTTATCTCTACCCTGTAGGTTGCAGGTGAATAAGTTTTTATTTTGTTTTACTTTTTTTTCTGCCAGAGAAGCTAAATGTAAACTTAAGGAATATGAATTCTTCATAGGTCACATTTTGATTCAGTGATCAAAGTGATCAAAATGCTAATAAGAGTTAGATTTTCAACATAAATAAGAGGAGTATTTTTAAAACATTAGAATAAAATGTTCCCTTCTCCGTAGTCGCTCAGATAAACCTAAAACCCTAAGTGTTCAGAGAAATACAAGAAATGGTGAAATTCATTGTATAGTTATTGGTGTGTTTAAAGAGAGAAACATTTTATCAGTGAAATTATACTTGATTATATAGTTCATTCTCTTAGCTGGCTACTAATTGTGATGTTCTTCCTAAATAAAGGATTTTTCACTTTCTAAAGAGTCACAGTAAAAATTTTAAAGGATTTTCTCCAACTCTGTTTCAGGGAAAGGCAAATTTTCTCAATAAAAGTCCGTTTAATATCTTAAGCTTTGCAGACCAAAAAGTCATCATAACTACTCAACTGTGCTATACTGCAAAGGCATCCATAGACATTATGTAAATAAATGAACATGGTTTACCAGCTTCTATTCTATGTCTTTAGAGATTTAGGCAGTTATTTAAGAGAGAAATAGCTAAATTAGGGTTCAGGAAATTAGGACTCGAATAATTCTTTGTTACTATTTAAGTGAAGGTAGGAGATAAACACTCTTTTTCTTTTGAAGCTCATCAGTATTGAAGCTAATGAGTTTTTCATAGTTTACTTTTGTTTTACTTCTGATGTTTAACTATTCAAAAATATTTTTTAGAGAAAAAGGAGAAAAAACAATCAATAGCAGGAAGTGCTGACTCTAAGCCAATAGATGTTTCTCGTCTGGATCTTCGAGTTGGTTGTATCATTACTGCCAGAAAACATCCTGATGCAGATTCTTTATATGTAGAAGAAATAGATGTTGGAGAAACAGCCCCAAGAACAGTTGTCAGTGGCCTGGTGAATCATGTTCCTCTTGAACAGGTAATCTGTACAATTAAAATTACTTCTGCATACACACGTCACTTTTTCTTGATGTTCTTCCATATAATTTTGTATAAGGTGGCCATACCACATGAGCCAGTATTGACTGGATCATTTGATTAATTTTTAATAAAATAAATTTCACCAAAAAAAGTGAATAAAAGTACCAAAAACCTGCAAAAGAGTTGCAAATTAAGATCAAATTCATGAGGATAGAAAGAAAGAAGATGGGGCATCTGGGTGGCTCAGTTGGTTAAGCATCCGACTCTTGATTTCAGCTCAGGTCATGATCTTACAGCTCGTGAGTTTGAGCCCCATGTCCAGCTCTGGGCTGACTGTGGAGCCTGCTTGGGATTCTCCTTCTCCCTCTTTCTCTGCTCCTCCCCTGCTTATGCTATAAATCTCTCTCTCAGATAAATAAACATTAAAAAAAAAAAAGATGCATTATTTTTTCTCAGTTTTTAAAATGTTTTTAGTTTAGTGTTTTATATGTAATATAGTATAAATATCTTTATCATCATTGTTCTGTCATGGAATTTTATTATTCCTTGATTTTTTTAGATCACTGTTATGTAAACCCAGAAAGCATCAATCTAAAAAGTAAGGGTAAGAATGAATCTTTTTTTTTTTTTTTATATAACTCAAGAAATATTTTCATACTTGAAGAAAAAAAGAGGAGAGGGGCTAATGGAGCTTGAACTTAAAATTTTTAATGGATTTTTTTGTTTCTTAAAAACTGGATGTTTTATATTTTGTTATTACTTAGGTCTTTAAAATATGTGTATGTGTGTGTGCGTGTGTGTGTATAGACATGTGTGTATTTCCAATGACAGTGGAAAAACTTACAGGCAGTAATGGTTTTAATTTGGTCTTTCAAGACATCTTCTATAGTAATTTGAGTCATCTGCCTATTTCCTTTGCCCCATGGTGCTTCGGAGATACTGCAAAGGCTGTAGACTTTTAACATTAAAATAGTTCTCTGTTCATTGCCAACTCTGTTGCTTATTCACTTTGCGATTTTGAATAAATCCCTACATTCATTCATTCATACTTCCAGATACTTCCAGGCACTATTCTAGATAAGGGATATAGCAGTGCATTAGGATGACTGGTAGGTAGGTAGGTAGGTAGGTAGGTAGGTAGATTTGTTTAGAAAACAAAAACCAAAAACCTGCCTTTGTGAAGCTCACAACCCTATGGGGTAGTGAGAAAAATCAACATATAGAGTATATTGAATAGTGGTAAGTATTAAAAGAAAAATAAAGTAGGGAAAGAGTCTATGAGTTGAAGTTAGAATTATGTAATTTTATATAAAGTAGCCTGGGAAGGCATCACAAAGAGACATTTAAGTAAAGGTCTGAGAAAGTGAAGAAAAGTCGTATGTCTGTCTGGTAGAAGAGCATTTCAGGCAGTTGTAAGTCAGATGTATGCCTGGCATGTTGCAAGAACAGCAGGAAGCAGTGTCACTATAGCAGAGTAAATAAGGGGGAATACCATTCAGTATGAAATCAGAGAGAGGGATGCCAGATGACCTAAGATCTTACAGATCATTGTATAGACTTTGACTTATATTCTGAATGAGGTGAAAGCCATTGGAGACCTGTTGAACTAAGGAGAAACATGATCTACCTCATAAATTAATAGGATCATCTGGCTGTTCTGTTCAGGTGAGAAAAACAGATATAAGCAGTTTAGTGAAAGTTTCTCTTTAAAAAAAGACTTGGTTCCTGTGTATGCTTTTGTTCCCTCTTTTTAACACTCCTCTTTTCTAGGACCAGGACTTCTTTATAACTGCTTATGGTGTTAGGTTCATAAGAAGCTCTGAAGAAAAGAACCAATTGATCTTGAGCCAGCTCAAATTGGAAAATCTCCTCCTACATTGGGTTTCATCTTTTTTGTTCCCATAAGTTGCAGACAATTTCTTCTCTTCCTACAACTGTCAGCCATAGCCTTAAACAAAGCTGTTTATATACACATCTGTATCTAACCTGTCAAGACAGTAGCAATAAATATTGTATAAAGCAGAAGCACTTTGCCCCCCAAATTGCATACTAAACTTTGTAGATTTGTGTGTTTTTCTAATGTAAAGGTCCATGGGTATCATCTGATGCTTTAACAGTTGCATCTAGACAACCCTGTTCTTTTTTCTTATACGTATATTCTATAACTTCTTTTCTAACATGTGGCATTTTCAAATTATGTATATGAAGAAGAGTCTTACTCATGAAGACCTCTGAAAAGGGGGCCTTTTGAATTTGAGTCTTAGGCCTGTTACGGTTTTTATTTATTATTTTTTAATCATAGGATTTGGGGGTAAATTTCCCATAACATTAATTTATAAAAGCATTATTTATTTATTTATTTATTTATTTATTTATTGTTTAATGTTTCTTTATTTTGAGAGAGCACGCACTAGTGTGTGGGAGAGGGGCTGAGAGAGAGAGAGAGAGAGAGAGAGAGAGAATGCCAAGCAGGCTTTGTGCTGTCAGTGCAGAGCCTGATTGGGATTCAAACTCAAGAACCATAAGATCATGACCTGAGCCGAAATCAGGAGTTGGACACTTGACCAATTGAGCCACCCAGGCACCCGCAAACCATCTTTTTTTATTTAGAATGTGCCTTTTCTCTTCCTCTGCTGTAATAATTCTCTTGTATGCTATTTTAAGCTTGTTGAAAGAACATAAACAACTGTGTTCCTTGGTTTTTCTAAATGGGGAAAAAATTAAGACACTTCAACTTGTGAAGATTAAAGAAATTTCTGTTCACTTCTATGACAAATTGTAGAAATGGCCTAAATGTTATATGCAGTGTACATAATACTTTTGATATTTGTTTTTGAAGTATAGTTGACTTGCAATGTTATGTTAATTTCAGGTGTACAATTGTTTCAGTGATTTAACATTTCTATTCATTACTCAGTGCTCACCACAATAAAGGTAGTCACCATGCAAAGTTACTAAAATATTACTGATTATATTCCCTATACTGTACTTTTCATCTCCATCACTTATTTATTTTATAACTGAAAGTTTGTACCTCTAAATCCCCTATACTTATTTTGCCCATCCTCCCACCCACTCTCCTATCCACTTCCCTCCTGACAGCCACAAGTTTATTCTCTGTATTTAAGGGTCTGTTGTTTGTTTATTTCTTTTGTGTTTTAGATTCTACATATAAGTGAAATCATTTAGTATTTGTATTTCTCTGTTTGATTTCTTTCACTTTACATCATACCCTCTAAGTCCATCCATGTTGTCTCAAATGGCAAGATTTCATTCTTTTTGTGGCCGAGTAATGTTCCACTCTATGAGTATTCCACATTATGTATATTTCTATATGTATATACACACACATACACATATGTATGTATACATGTTTATCCATTCATCTATCTGTGGACCCTAGGGTTGCTTCCATATCTTGGCTATTAGAAATAATCCTGCAGTAAATGTAAAGGTGTGTATCTTTTTGAATTTGGGTTTTCATTTTATTTGGGTAAGTGCCCAGTGGTGGAATTACTGTATCATATGGTATTTCTATTTTCAATTTTTTGAGGAACGTCCAAACCTTTTCTATAGTGGTTGCACTGATTTACATTCCACCAACACTGCATGAGAATTTTTTTTCTCCATATCCTTGCCAGCACTTATTTCTTGGCTTTTTAATACTAGCAATTCTGCCTGTTGTGAAGTGATATCTCATTGTGGTTTTGATTTACATTTACCTGATGAATAGTGATGTTGAGTATTTTTTTGTATATCTGTTGGCCATCTGTCTGTCTGTGGAAAAATATCTACTCAGGCCCTCTGTCCATTTTTAATTGCATTGTTTGTGGCTTTTTTGATGTTGAATTGTATAAGTTCTTTATATATTTTGTATATTAACCCCCTATGGGAAGAATCATTTGCAAATGTCTCTCTCATTCAGTGGGTTGCCTTTTTGTTTTGATGATGATTTCCTTTGTTGTACAAAAGCTTTTGTAGTCGCAATAGTTTAATTTTGCTTTTGTTTCCCTTGACTGAGGAGACATACCTAGAAAAATGTTTCTGTGGCCTTTGTCAAAGAAATAACTGCCTGTGTTTTCTTCTAGTTTTATGGTTTCAGGTCTCATAGTTAGGTCGTTAATCATTTTGAGTGTATTTTTGTGTATGGTGTAAGAAAGTGGTCAAGTTTCATTCTTTTACATGTGGCTGTCAAGTATTCCCAGCACCATAAATTGAAAAGACTGTCTTTTCCCCATTATATATTCTTGTCTTCTTCGTTGTAGATTAATTGACCATATAAGTATAGTTTTATTTCTGGGCTCTCTATTCTGTTCCATTGATCTATATGTATCTATTTTGTGCCGTACCATACTGTTTTGATTACTGCAGCTTTGTAGTATATCTTAAAATCTGGGATTATGATACCTCCAGTTTTGTTGTTCTTTTTCAAGATTGGTGTGGCTGTAGATATGCTTACGACTACAATGACTCTCTTCGCTACCTGTTCTTACACTGGACAGGGTTTACTTCCATTGCTGTTGACAGATTTGTGAGCTTACTGGTAGATGGAGCCAGCACTCACCTTAACCGTCTGCAGGTAACCTCTGTAACAGCTGCAGGTGCATGAAGGGCAAGGCTTGCTCCCTGAACAGCCTGGTAAGAGGCCTCATTGCAGCAAGTGTGGGTGTGCTGGTGTGTAGGGTTATCTCCCCTTCTTTCCAGGGCTGCAGTCACTTTGGAGTGGTCTAAGACCTGCTTGCTTCCTGTATTTGACATGGTAGGATCTGCTTTGGAAGGGTACCTCCTGTTGTGGGTGGATTAGGTGGTGCATGTATGCAAGGGAATGCAAGGGCATGTGGTGCTGGTAAGTTAGATGGAGAGTGATAGCACTGGCTTCTGCAAACTTCAGGCCATCTAGGCGGGGGAGAGCAAGAAAAATGATGCCCTCTGGCACTACTTTCTTTCCCAGAGATGTTTCTGGTAGATCTCTGCCTGTCTAACATATCCTAAGATTAGTCAATAAATCTTCACAAATACCTCAGATACTTCAAATTGCTGCTTTGGTGCTGTGTCTGGTGATGGCTCTTTTAGTGTGGGGGCTCCGTTTACTGTCACTCTCTGGTTTTCCCAGTTAAGCCCTGCTGATTTTTAAAGCTTCTAGAGTTAAGTCCTCCTGTTTTTCAAAGCCAGATGTTAGGAAGATTCATCTTCCCAGTTTGGGTCCCTAGGTGTGGGGTCTGACCCCCTTACTCCTCTGTGTTTTGTGACGTTCATCCTGTTTGTGGTTAGTCGCCAGGGTTCCCAACTGTGTCTCTACGCTTCCTATTCTTTTTGATTTTGTCTTCTCTCTAGCTGTGGATGATCTGAAGTGCCAGTCTTCAGGTCGATTTCAGAGTTAGTTGCAGTAGATGCAGTTGTTTCATTGGCGTGTCCGTGGGACTAGGTGAGCTCAGAATCCTCCTATTCTGATCTTCCCAAGAGTAATTTTTAAATTAGGACATGAATCTTGGCAATGACCAAGTATGACATAGTATTGGCAATGACCAAATATGTATGGAAAAAAGGATTGTTCATTTATTTCAGTGCTAACACTATGCTAAATGTTTTACATACATGTTACAATATACTCCTAGAGTGGGCTATTTAAGTGGGATATCATTTTCCTCATTCTGTGAGGAAAAAAACATTTCAACTTTATACAATCTGATTGCTAGTACATGGCAGCTACATTCAAAACCACATCTGTTTCACTCAGTCTAAAAATTATTTAACTGAATAGTCTTGCCTCTGCTCCTTCAACTATAGGGCACTGTCAGTTTGTGGAATTTTTTTTTTTCATGTTTATGTAAGACTTCGTAACAACAATAAAAGATTTTGGACACAGAGACAGATACATCTACAAAAATAGAACATTTTATATTTAGCATATTAGATGTAGCTTAGTGTATTCTAGGTGTAATTATTGTAATCTCTGTATATATTTAATCACTAATTTGTGTTTCACACAGATGCAAAATCGGATGGTGATTTTACTTTGTAACCTGAAACCTGCAAAGATGAGGGGAGTAATATCTCAGGCAATGGTAATGTGTGCTAGTTCACCTGAGAAGGTTGAAATCTTGGCACCTCCTACTGGGTCTGTTCCTGGAGACAGAATTATTTTTGATGCTTTTCCTGGTAAGTATTAGTCATTATTTAAAATAGTTTGGGAATCATTGTTCTTTTGTAGTATTTAGTTTAAAACCAGTCTTGGTTTAGTTTAAAACCAAGGCTTTACATTAATGACCATTATTATTAAGATTTTATTATTGAGTTTCTTGAGATTGGTTCAAGATGGCACATTAAGCACACCATCTAACCATCACCCTCCCCATGAATGCACACATTGCATAAAACTCTAGAGAGAGGGGTGCCTGGGTGGCTTAGTCAGTTAAGCATCCGACTCTTGGTTTTAGCTCAGGTCATGATCTTGGGGTTTTTGAGTTCAAGCCTCACATCGGGCTCTGTGAGGACAGCACAGAGCCTGCCTTGGATTCTTTGTCTCCCTCTCTCTTTGCTCCTTCCCCACTTATGTTCGCTCGCTCTTTCTCTCTCTCTCAAAAATAAATAAACATTAAAAATATATGTTTTTAAAAAACACTAGAGAGAGTTTGCTCTAGGCAAAATACTAGTAACACTTACATAGCAGAGGAGTATGTTATAGATAGAGAACTAATTAATGTGCTGCAGAGTCTTTGAAGCTATAGATTATCTCAGAATGCAGCACAAAAAGATGAAAAGTTCATACGTGGGGGAAGAAATATGTAATTCTCCAAGTCCATCTAATAATGTACTTGCATATGCTTTTACTTGACTTCAGGATATAGAGAAAAATTGAGTTAAAACTTGTATTTATTGTAATGATCTCAAAGGAGGTTGCTTTCATATTGCTTGTTTTCTCCACTAAAATGGTCCTGAGATAGAAGAAGTTTTATCATGTGTGAAAAAGTTTCTTCATATAGGTCTTTGAAGCAAAAGAGAAAGGATGCTTGTCAGATATGGAATAAATATTTCCTTCATGAAAGGAGGAGGAAAAACAAAAGAATGCATTTACTTAAAGGATGTTCATTTGACTACAGAGTAATGGGAAAAGTAGAAATAAATTAGGGTAAAAAGGAGAATTAGGTCTAAAAGTCAGAATTGATTTGGAAACATATTTGTAGAAACAGCTGTTTTAATAGCAAGGCTGATGTGATTAGATGGGCCTGCTTTTTAAATCCTGTGTTAACTGTGTTTGATAAAATATTAGGATATGAAGGATTTTAACACTGGACTAAGATAGAAAATATGGTTGGAACCATGGGTTAATTTCCTTGAAACTCAGCTTCCCCCCTCTCCTGGTCAAAGTAGGCTAATGTAAAAAACACAGGGATTGTTTAGCAAGTATCTGTGACTTTGAATACAAGTGTACGTCTTGAACCTTGGTAGAACGAAAACCTTAGTAGTCTGTTTTCTAAGAATCTTTTTTGTTAAACTAGGTTTTGGGAAAATCTCATTTAGAATCATTTCTTAAAGCAGCATGATGGCTTTTGGTTCTAGGAGCATATGGTCACCCCTCTGCTACCACAATATCAAAACACTTTCCAAACTTCACACTTTGGGGTAAATCATTTGTATATCTGACAAACCTAAAATTCTATTGAGAAGTCTCATTCACTAAATTGGAATAGAATGACAATAAAAGTAAACTTTTTCCTTTAAGATACTTTTGGTTTACCTTTCCAAGTTAACATTTCCCTTCCTTTCTGTTTAAACACGTAAGATTTTGGGGCGCCTGGGTGGCTCAGTCAGCTGAGCGTCTGACTTTGGCTCAGGTCATGATCTCGCGGTCTGTGAATTCGAGCCCTGCATTGGGCTCTGTGCTGTCAGCTCAGAGCCTGGAGGCCGCTTCAGATTCTGTGTCTCCCTCTCTCTCTGCCCCTCCCCTGCTCATGCCGTGTTTCTCTCTGTCTCAAAAATAAATAAAAACATTTAAAAAAGGTTTAAAAAAATAAACAAACACATAAGATTTAGTATGTTTTCTTTAAGTGTTGTTTTGTGATGTAAATTGTAGAGTTATATGCTTAGAATTGGAAGAAAATCCACTATTTTATAGATTTGTTTTGAGGCCCAACAAAACTCAGCTTCTTGCTTACAGTTATATAGAGTTAGTGAAGGGATCAAAGAATAAATGTGCCTGAATTTGTAGCACTGTAGCATTTTTGTTGATTGCTGCTTGCTTTGAATTAATATGGACTATTTCATTAATGAAGGCTTCTTATTCTTTTAGTTCTATTCTTTTAGTTTTAGTTCAGGTTTCATTCCATTATCTCAAAGAATTGACAGGTAGTATTTCAGCAATTGAATCAGGTTTATTTGGATGCTACTATTGAGTATATTGAAAGTTTTTCATTAGTTACTCAGTGACTTAGCATTAGAGATGTTAATAGCCCAGTATGGATTTCTTGTCTTTATTATATTCTCTAATCTATCCATTTGGCTTCTTATGTGTTTATATTTACATTGTTCCAAAGTCTGATATTTCTTGCAAATTCATAGTTTCCCCTTGCGCATCAGCACATGAGTATGTGGAGAAGGTACAAAAATATAAAGTGAAAAAAGGGAAAACCTGACCTTTTAAAATGGCCCATGAGATTATATTCTTAAGCATCAAATAATTGATGAATTTTAGGACGTGAGGTTTGTTAATGTTCATCTTGCTTATGCTTCCATATCAGTTGCTTCTGGAGCAGTAAATCTGAAAGGAATAGCAGTTAATACTATGCAGCAGGCCATTAGTCTTACATTTTTCTTTGTTTTTTTTTCTTTTTCTAGTCAGATCCATGATTTATCAGTGCTTTATTTTTCAGCATCTGTTTTACATTTTAAAGCTTAAGGTGTCTGCTGGTACATTTTGATGTTCACTTGATGTGCTCAGTGTCTGGAGACTTACATTTCATGTTATATAAAGTGTGGTATAGAAATTGCATTTGGGACTCAAACGTTTGAAGTGCTGTTTGGCCTTGAAAAGGCATTTACACCTAACAACTATTCCAACTACAAATCTAAAAAGTTCCATAGAGTTTAGAAGATGCCAAATGATATTTTTTATAACACTGACTAGAAACCCTCCCCACCCAGTACTTCTTAAAATTTTCAGTTTGTGAAGCTGTACATTTTACTATTTAAATGTGATAACTAGTCCCGAAAGCACCACGCAAAACTAACTTGAAAATAATATTATGGCTAGAAGACAGTAGCAACAACAGCCTTTTGAGAGTACTTTTTGAGAGTACACTGGATTTCGTCTAATAATAAATGAGAATTTGCATTCAGACGTTTAACTTCCTAGATCATGCTTATTTCTATTGTTATTGGGTCTTACTAATATGTTAGAGGTTAATCACAAAGCATGTATGATATGTACAAGAGTATTGAATTTTTGATGCCTTTATTCTTAAAAATAGATATAAACTTCTTTCTAAAACCCATTTCAGTCAGGTTTCCCTACTATTTTTTCCAGAACTTCTCTGATCAGGGTCACCAATTTCTCTCAGTAACTAAATATCCTTGGCTAGTTCTTAGACTTTTTCTTAATTATCTTGGTTTCTGGCACCTGGTGGCCTGGTGGTCCTCCTGCTTCACTGGTCCTCCTTCTTAATTCCTTTGCTGATTCTTCCTCACCTCCCTGACCCCTTAACATTGGAATATCCCAGACCTTGGTCTTTGACCTCTATTTCTTTCTGTACTTGACCTCTTCTCTTTTCTTTTTCATGTTCATTTTCTTGGCTGTTTTAACCAGTTACTTATCCAGCTGCCTACTAGACTTTTTCCCTAATATGTCCCAAGGGAGAATACATATTCCCCATCTTTCCCCTAGAATTTTCCTTTTCCATAGTATTTCTCATCTTATCTGACAGGGATTCTGTTCTCTCAACTTCTTTTTATTTTCTCACTTATCTTCTCCTTCAGAAAATCCTAGCAATTGTACCTTCTGAATATATCTAGAATCATTCTCCTCATCTTTGCCCACTACTACTTTGGTCCTGGTGCCAACATGTGTTATGTGGAAGGTAAAACTTTGTAACTGATCTCCCTGCTTTTGCCTGTGCCCTTCTTCCATCTATTTTCAGTTATGGGAGAGTGATGTAAGTCAGAGTGTATTACTCCTCTGCTCAGAACTATTACAAAACTTTTCATTTGACCCAGAGTACAAGCCCAAGTTCTTGTAATGGCCTCCCATTGTGTTTGTTAACCTCATGTACTCCATAAATCTTCACTGGATCACTCCAGTTGAGCCACTGGCTCTTTCCCCAAAATAGCTACATGGCTTGGTCCGTGATCCTATTGATCCAATATACTAAACATTGTTAATTGTCTGTCCACGCAGAATTGTAAGCACGTGAAATCAAGAAATTTACTTTTGTGTTTATGTGGTGATTATTCACTGTTGTATACCTAGCATCTAGAAAAATGACTGGTGTAGAGCTCAGTAAATTGGTTAATGAATAAACAGAAAGAAACACACTAGTAAAACATGTAAAATACAAACAGAAAAATCAGTATTTGGAGAACAGGCCTGAGCATTTGCCTTCATTATTGTCAGGGTTATTCCTAGAGAACCACCAAACCTCTTTTCTCTATTGATTAGCTTTCTAAATTTAATCAACCTTTATTTGCAAACTTATACTTTAGTTTTTGTGCCACAATTGGCAATAGTTACAATTGCTGTAGTTCAAAAACCCAGTTAATCACACATAAAATAATTTAGTGCTAGGCTTTTTATGGCCATGGCAGATATCAAAGAGCTGATAATTAATGAGCAAAACAATGGCTAATTAAAATGAAGTTTCCGGTTTTTATTTCAGATTGTGAATGCTTGGGATTTTGGAATTTGTATTTATTGCTTTTTGTAGGTTTTAAATTCTAAGAAGGTGGTCACAGTTTTTTACATTTGTACAAACTCCTCTCTGAACTACTTCCTATTCCCTGTGTGCTTTGTTTACAATCAGTTGGCCTAAAATAGTCTCTGAAGGATTAGTTCTCTTACATTATGTGTAACTGTTTCCAAATGGTGATTATTGGCATGTGTTTAGCAATTTCAGAGGCTCTGCAGTTTTTAGCTTTTAAGAACTTTTATTGATATCACTTAACTTTGT